CTTTCTCTCTCTCTCTCTCTCTCTCTCCCAGCCTACTCCCTTGGGAGTCAAGCACCACAGACACTTCACCCACCCAGCACTGAATCCTATCTGCCCATAACCAACAGCCCCCCCCATCCCCACCCATCTAAACCAGACTGAGGTCTAACCAGCCTGGATGACAGGAATCCCTTCTTGGGCACTTGAGTTGAACTAAAACATATATCATACCCCAGTAACACATGGGACCAGTGCACTTGCAGCTAAATACTGACTGTGGTCCAAAGGAGCCCAAGTCCCAGGGTGGGGCCCCACACTAGCAGCGTCAGACGTGCTTGATGGAGGGTCTACCACGGCATCACATTCAGAGGGTATAACATCCCCACCAGGCTAGGAGGTAGATGGTACTGTTAGACCCACGTAATACATAAAGAAACTGAGGCTTCATGAAGTTTGCTCAAAGTCAGGATCTACCCAGCTCCAAAGCCTGGTCCCAGAGGGCAGCACAGGCCATGTCTTAGAATTTTGATTAGCTAGATTCAGTCCCTACATCACATGGGAGTGCCCACGGAGGAGTCCTGTAGGAAGAAGAGCCCTAAGCCAGATCAGAAGAATGTCTCTGAGAGCCAGGCCAGCACTGGTGGGTATGTAGGCATGTGTGATTTGTTGAGTCCTTGCCCTGGTCCAGTAGCCCTCTCACCAGGCAGAAGTCCAACCCTCCCCCACCCCCACAGAGCAACTGTAGTGATACCTCCATAATCAGACACTCAGCAACATGTGTGTTGAGACTGCAGCCAGGGATCTGCGCTGCTCTATTTGCTCGTGACAAAATGAAGTCTTCAATCTACCAGAGAAAGACGAAACAGTAATGGTGGTGGTGACCTCTCAACCCCGCCCCTTCACACACTCTACTGCTAAATACCCTCAGCTGCACCAGGAGGAGGCAGGCAACAGAGGGCCGCACTGGGCCAGCTTTACAGAGAGGGAAGCTGAGACACAAAGTATCAGAGCACAAAGAATCCAGGGAGAAGGGGTGATGAGTGCACGGTCACCAGGAGTTTATAGTGAAGGGGAGGAAGTCGGGAGGAGAGCTTTGAAACATTAAAAGGCAAGATTTCTAGGTTATGATCTGATTTCCATTTGTTATTTCCATATGGACTGAGCATCCCTAATCCAAAACTCCAAAATGTGAAATGCTCTGAAATTCAAAACTTTTTGAGCATTGATATGATGCTCTCAAGAAGAAATTTCATACCTTGGGGCTAGAGAGATGATTCAGCTGTTAAGAGGGCTTGCTGCCCATGCAGAGGACCTGAGTTCAGTTCCCAGCACCCACATGGGGTGGCTCACAGCTGCCTGTAACTCCAGCTTCAGGGGATCTGACACCCTCTTCCAGCCTCCAAGGGCACTGCACTCACATGCACAAAGTCAGGATCTACCCAGGATCTACATAATCACACACATATACACATAATTTTAAAAGAATAAAAATAGGACTGGAGAGATGGCTCAGTGGTTAAGAGCACTGACTGCTCCTCCAGAGGACCCGAGTTCAATTCTCAGGAACCACATCAGGCCGTTTACAACCACCTGTAACTCCAGCTCCCAGGGGATCCAGTGCCTCTGATTTTCTCAGGCACTTCCACTCACATGGACATAACCACACAGACACACACGCCCAATTAAAAATAAATAAAACCTTTTTAAAAGAATAAAAATGGGCCTAGAAAGATGGCTCAACAGTTAAGAGCACTGGCTGCTCTTGCAGAGGACCCGGGTTCAGTTCCCAGCACCCACATGGCAGCTAACAACTTTCCATAACTCTAGTTCCGACGGATCCAACATCCTCTTCTGATCTCCTTGGGCACTGCATGACACAGGTGCACTAACATAATGCAGACAATACACTCATACACATAAAATTAAAATACCTTTTTTTGTCTTTTTTTGAAGCAGGGTCTCCCTGAGTCCCAGCTGACCTGGAATTCACTATGTAGACCAGGCTGGCCTTGAACTCACAGAGACCTGCCTTCCTCTACCTCCCAAATGCTGGGATCAAAGGTGGGCACCACCATGCCCAGCTAACAAATAACTTTTAAAAAAAGAATAAAAATAAATCCACACAAGGAAAGTTTGTTTCATGCACAAGAATACTGTATAAAGCTTCCTTCATGTTTACCTACATAAGATGCATAGGAACAGCAAGTTGACTTGGTGGGTACAACTGGGTCCACCACCATGTTATGTCCTTACACATATACAAATATCCCAGAGCAAAAAAAATAAAATAAGGACTCTAAAACTCTTCCAATCCCAGACATTTCAGATAAGAGATTCTCAACATAGATAGTCAATGTAGAAATCGTGGGAAACAGAAGTAGATAAATGCTCACAAACACTCAGTTATCCATCACCCTCTTCCATGGTAAAGATTTTCAACATTTATGCATCTTGTGAGTATATTGTGTACTTACATTTTTAGACAGGGTCTCATGTAGCCCAGGCTGGTCTCAAACTCTCTAAATAGCTTGGAATGACCTTGAGCTCCTGATCATCCTACCTTCACCTCAAAAGTATTGGGCTTACAGCTGTGCACCACCATGTGTAGTTAAAGATACATTTCACACACATATGTGTATGAATTCATATGTATACACGTGTCTGTACATGTGTATGCATGTGGAAGCCAGAGATGAACACTTGGTATCTCTCAATTCTTTTTTCCTTTTCTTTCTTTTTTTAATATTTTTTTACTTATACTTTTTATTTTATTTGTATGAGTGTACTGCCTGCATGTATGTAAGTATACCTGTGTTGAGCAATGCCTGCAGAGGTCAGAAAAGGGCATTGAATCCCCTGGAACTGGAGTTACAAATGGTTGGTAGCTGCCATGTGAGTGTTAGGAATCAAACCTGGGTCTTCTGCAAGAGTAGCCAGTGTTCTTAACTGCTGATTGGCCAGTGAGCCCCAGAGATCCTTCTGCCTCTTCCTCCCCAGTGATGGAACTACAGGTGATCATTAGCATGCCAGGCTTCTCCATGGGTGCTGGGGATCTGAACTCAGGTCCTTACACTGACTGAGCTATCTCCCTCACCCCTATCTCTGTATAATTTTGAACACAGATTAGATTACATTGTAGCTGCTATTTCTTTTTTCATTTAATATATTGTAAGCATTTTCCATGTCAAAAATACTCATGTGTAGGACTGGAGAGATGGCTTAGTGGTTAAGAGCACTGGCTGCTCTTGCAGAGGACCTGGGTTCAGTTTCCATCACCCACATGGTAGATAACAAACATCTGTAAGTCCAGTTCCAGGGGATCCAACCTCCTCTTCTGACCTCAGGCATTGCATGACATGGGTACATTTACACACATGCAGGCAATACACTCATACACATAAAATAAAAATAAGTATTTTTTAAAATACTCAGGTGTCCCACGCCTTTAATCCCAGCACTCAGGAGGCAGCGGCAGGTGGATCTCTTTGAGACTGAGGTCAGCCTGGTCTCAAAAGCCAGTTCTAGACCAGCTGGAGTTGCAGTTTATCTCAAAAGAACAAAAAAAGTGTGTGACAGATTTAATTTAGTTAATTGTATCATTTCCAACATCTGAACAGAGCAGCGTCTCTTGACATAAACCCCATCACTAACCATGTGTATTGCTTCTGTTGATTATTAAGGCACTTTGACAGTAACAAAGCAAGAAGAAATTAACTTATTCTGCCCAGCACACAAACTCTGTAATTCTCCATGGACATTGGAGGACGTTCACTACGTGCCCTGTTTGTGTTGATGGATAAGCTCCCTGCCCCACAGCATTCCAATGATTTGTAATATGGAATTTAATCAGAGTTCTTTCTAATGAGATTTAACTTTAGTGCTTGTTATATCTCTTGGTATTGAGTCTGGTTTTGGGGTGTGTGTGTGTGTGTGTGTGTGTACAGGTGCTTGAGTGTATGTATGACTGTGCATGTGTGTGCATGTGGGTACGGAAACAAGAGAACTTCATCTTTCATTCAAGTGCTGTCTACCTTACACTTTTGAGACAGGGCCTCTCACTGGTCTGAAGCTCCCTGCCTGTCAGGCCAATGAGCTCCAGGGATCCACCTCTGCCTTCCGAGCCCTGGGATTAGAAGTCACTATGACCAGCTTTTTAAAAAACGTATTATTATATTTTGTGTATGCACAATGCGAGGGGAGGTGCACATTCACAACATACCTGTCCATATGTGGAGGATGACTGCGAAGTCTGTCTCCTTCCACATTTACATGGGTCCCAGGGATCAAACTCAGGCCACCAGACTTGCACTGCAAGCACTTTCACCTGCTGAGCTGTTCACCAGCCCCACCATTTTTTTACATGGGTTCTGAGGATCAAACTCATCACACAAGAGAAGCACTGTACCAACCAACAGGTTTGGGGGTTTATTCCTGTGTGTTAAGGAATGGAACCAGGTCTCATTTATCCCAAGAAAACAAATCACCTGGTTGCCCAAAGATGATTGTTGCCACTCTGTTTACAATGGTGTAAAATTGGGAACAGTTCCCGTGCCCGTGCAGAGCAGACAGGTGAAATAAATCAAGGTGCATCCTCGCCACGAATCTTGGGCTGTCAAATGATGATGCAGATCTCTACTGAGATGGAAAGATGTCCCTCACACTTGCCAGGGCCAAAAGCTGTGAGCGTGTGGGTCTGCAAGTGGGGGTGTTAGTGTATCCCGGAGACTATTTAACTAAATGCTACCAGCTGCTGTCTCCAGGCAATGTGGGGAGATTTGCATTTTTTATGTTAGCTTTATCGCTTTCTGGAATATCATGTCTCTTCCTCTTTTTGCAAGGCTGAGATGACTTTGTAATGGGGTGGGAGACCTACCAGAGCCACTTTGATTTTGAAGAGAAGCTCATGGGGGAAACACACCTGCCCTGAGGTGTCTCTCCTCCCACCCCACCCCTCATCACCCCAGAATGTGGCTCCTTTCCCTCAGTTCCAGCAACGTCCTGTATACTTGTGTGTGTTGCAGATTCAGACAGCCAATGCAGCCCCACGAGGCACAGCCTCAGCCTGTCTGAGGGAGAGGAGCAGATGGACCGACTACAGCAGGTGGAGCTGGTGAGGACCACACCCATGTCCCACTGGAAGGCTGGTACGGTGCAGGCCTGGCTAGAGGTGGTGATGGCTATGCCCATGTATGTTAAAGCCTGCGCGGAGAACGTCAAAAGCGGGAAGGTAGGTGGCTCTGGACCCTAGGGGTGCCCCTGTACCCTCCCATGAGCGCTGTACTCTTAGGAGTTGGCCAACTCCATTCTACCCTGGGACAAGAGGTGGTCCCAACTCTTAGGAGTTGGCCAGCCTGTTTCAGGCCCAGGATCCCAATAAATCAGTCTCCCTAGCAAGGCACACAGCTCTTTGAAATCACAGATATCTTGACCTTAAAAATAGGACTAACCTCCCTTAGTAAGAGGAGGACAGGGGTGAACTATTTCACCTAGATGGTGGTCCCACCCATTTTGATCAAACAGTGGTCCACCCAGACATTGGCCCATAACAAAAACTGATCCCAAGGACATCCAGGAACCCAGCAGGGGTTAACTAAAAGGCATAGGCAGGTGTCAGGGGAGAACTGAAGGTCCCAAGGGGAATGGAATCCGCAAAGTAGATACCCCAGAACACCTGGAGACAAGGTTTGTTGGGAGTTTTCAGTCACTGCAGACTTTAGAGATGACCTGGTGCCCCATCTAGGGAGATGGGCAAGGAGGAAGGTGAGGCGTCCCGTCTCACAGAGCCCTCTGTACCTACCCCAGCAACAGCAGCAGGTGCCAAGGCCAGACCCTGCTCCTCACCCAGGTTCTAACCTCCGGGCACTGAGTCCCTCTCCCCCGAGCAGGTGCTGCTGAGCCTGAGTGATGAGGACCTGGAGTTAGGCCTGGGTGTATGCAGTTCCTTGCACAGGCGCAAGCTCCGCCTGGCCATCGAGGACTACCGAGATGCTGAGACAGGCCGTAGGTAAGTCACTGAACCCCAGGAGAAACAAGAAGTTTCTGTCCTGAGCAGAAACAGAGTACCCTGGGCCAAGTCAGGTGTGGGGACATTGGGTTCAGCAAAGATGGCCCAGGTATTCCCCGTCACTATAGAAAAATGAACACAGGAGGATGTGCACGTGCCTAGAATGCCTGTGACACATCCACACCCCAGAGCAGGAACCAGGAAACCAGTCCCTCCCAGCACTCCTCAGCCAGAGGTTCCAGGCCACATACACAACCAACATGTCTGCCTCACCTGTTTTATCTGGAAGCTCAGCTCTGACCACTCCAGAGTGAGGAAATGTGGCGGGAGGTGGAGAAGACAGACGTGGACAGGGAGATGAAAGGGTCTGACAAGTTCACTGAAGTCTCTTGCAGAGGCGCGGCGCTGGATGGGTGGGGCCTCTCAGCAGGTGCACTTGGGTGTGACTGAAAGCCCTTCCCTCCAGGGTTGTGCCTGCTGAGGCTGCCTGTCCCCCTGCTCCAATGTTCATACCACCTCAGCCAGCCCCACTTCCTCCCTGCAGCCCTCTCAGTCTTCTGGGGGCCCCTCTTTTGAACAGCTCTGGGGAAAAGGGAAGGCACACCCCCAACACACAGTCCTCCGTGTGTGGAGGGGGAGGAGCCGGGTTTGTAAACCTGACACTGTCTGTTTTGCATAATTATCCCGTTCGCTGGTTTCCCATCATTTCTGTGCAGTTAATTAATCAAACCTGGTGGTGTGTGGTATTATTTGCAGAAGCAGTTTCATGGATTAAAAAAAGGAAGGGGCCGAGGGTGGAGAAGCAAGCCTTTCAGAAGCAGAAAAAAAGCAATCCATGTGCAGCAGGAGAGGGGATTACTGAGACTTGGGCAGAAAGCTAGGTAGCAGCTCTGAGCCAGAAGCAGAAGACAGTAAAAAGCTGGCCATCTTAGAGGACAGGGCTTCATAGAAGCAAGAGAGAGAGCTGATAGGGATGGGACCAGGAAGCACCCTCAATCCCCACCCCCCGCCACACACACACTGGACTTTCCTTCCCGGGCATCTCAGAAACACCTCAATCACCTCCTACCTCCTGACGGTTCCATCCCCTAGACCCTAAAGTCCTCACTCATTATTCTAGTCACCTGAGCCAGAAATAACGTGCTGCTTATACCATGCCTCACCCCCCAGAGGGTCCCTCAATGCTGCCCTGTGTTTCTGGACCAGGTGGGGATTCTGGCTTGATATCTCAGAAGTTCAGGGCATCCCCACTGCTGCCCAAGTATCCACCACCATCGCCAAAGTCTGGCTGTCTTCACCAGCTTGGGCTGCGGTCACAGAACACCACCAACTGGATAGTGTAAGCAGCAGATGTTTACTTTTCCCAGTTCTGGGGACAGCAAGTCTGAGAGAGCAGGGTGCCAGGGTGGCCCAACTCCAGCAAGGGCAGGGGCACCCCTCCTGGTTTGCAGATGGAAGCCTTCCGGCCAGGTCCTAACATGGGGCAGGGCGAGAATCATTCACCCCCAAGACCTGAGGTGACCCTAACACCTTCCATGTGACCCTAACACCTTCCATGGCCCCACCTCCGAACACTGGCACATGGACACATGGATGTGGGGGACAAACACAGGTTCATGACAGTAGCTGAACCTGAGAGCCATTAGGAGCCCAGAAAGAGGTGATTCAAAGATACAACCGGGCATGCAGGGGAGAGCTGAAGCGGATGGGTCCCAGGAGTCATGGGCCACCATTTAGACAGCCCAGGGCTTGTGAAGAGAGGCCTTATTGTGAACTCTCCATTCCCAGAGGAAATCGAGCCTAACTCACATACAGGCAAGTTGGCTTTCTCTGGGACTCAGTTTCCCCACCTGTGAAGAGGGAATAAATTAAACTTTTGACAATCTCAACTATTTGAGGAAATCCAGGAAGAGTCTTTGATGCCTTCCCCAAATGAAATATAAAAAGACTTCATAACTTTATGTTCCAAGCTCTCTGACCCACTCTCATGAAACTTTTAAGAGCCCATGGATCCTGGGGTCAGAGCCCCAAGGTGGATCATCTCTGACTTCCTGTGTGACCATGGGCATGGGAGCACCCTCTCTGGGCCCATCAAACTCTTTGCCAACCTTTCATCTGTCTTTATGAACACAATCCCGTTACCCATTCCATCCGTGTCAAACAGACATTCTAACCCAATCTTAAAACTGGAGAGTAGGGTGCAGAGGAATAACATGTGAAAGGTTGCATCCCAGAACATCTGGTTCTATGTTCCCATCTCTCATACCATGTGGGTGTTAAAAATCACACTGATGGCTCCTATTATCAAAGTGCTCCCAGACCCTGGGCCAAGGGCTTTCCATCCATTTTTGCCTTCTTTTAGACTGTCTATCCTCATTTTCCACACAAGGAAACTGAGCCCCAGAGTTGCAAGTTTACAGAGCTAAAAGGGACAGACCCAGAACAGCCTCTTGATTCCACACTGGCTAGTGACACAGTCTCTGTATTGCATGCCTGTCCTCAGACCTCAGGGTGTGTTCTGGCCCCAGTCCAAGGGCCGAGCACCCCTTTTCAAAAGCAGCGTGTCGATTCCTTCTCAAACTACACTGTCGTCTTCATCAAGGGCTCTTACAGTGGCTGTGACCGGCAGCTGGGCCAGTGTGACCAAACTTCAATGAAGAGAAAAGCAGTTCAAAGGACAGGAGTATGCTCACTGTGGATTTATAGAGAGGTATTGATGGCTACAACTGGGCCGCAGCCAAAGAGACCAGGCCAGCCACTCCTCCTGGTCACCACCCCAACAGTGTGGCACCATTGGTTTCACAGGGATCACTGTCCTCTAGTCCCCACCAGTGACAACTCTGGCCTGGGCATCTGATTCCGATCCATGAGGGCCATTAGGGCTGGGACTGGACAAGGGTCCTCTGTGTCAAGCTGGGTCAGCTTTGGAGGGTATGAGGGTTCTGCCCAGAACCATCCTCTCAGAAGGGAGCTTATCTCAGGACAGGTGGTTCTAGTTTAGGAGCTGTGTCAGGGCAGCCTGGGGGTGGACTGAAGCCCAGTCTCTTCCCTAGCCTTGATCCATCAGCCACACTAATTGGTTATGAAACAGACACTGAGGAACTGGCCTAAGCTTGCCCATCCTGGATAGCCTAGTGAGGGAGCTGATCTGAGAGCAGCAGTTAACCCTAGCATGCCTGGTACACACACGAGGACCCCAGGGCTTTGTGCAGTGGGGGGGTCTCTGGCACAGTGGAAATTCCTACAAGGTATGCAGGAAACCAGACAGCCCAGCAAAGTCTGTTAACAGCTTAGCCAGTGATAAGCAGCCAGCCTGGAGACAGAGGACAGCTGGGTCTTGGCCCTGGGAGAAGAGTCAAGTGGTTCCAGAAGACTGGGACAGAAGGAGGGAGAAGGCACCAGGAACCCATACAGCCATTCTGCCAACCAGCACTCAGCAAGCCTCTGCCATGTGCACCGCAGCCACTGTATCATTGAATGCAGCCACTGTCTTGACCACTAGACTATACCCTAGGGTGGGCATGAGGGGGCCATAAACCAGTGGCCAGATTCATTTGTATTTAAAATGCAATGTGTGATGAGTACTTTGAAACAAATAACTGGAATAGAATGGCACGATTGGGGGGTGGGACCTTGGGAATAGGAGACGAGAACCTGGGCAGAACTAGAAAGAACTGACTCAGGGGAGAGGGCAACTGGTTCAGGGCATCCTGGGAAATGCCACTCCCAGCAAGGGTGTTAGGCAAGAGCCAGCAGAGATGGGACCTGGTAGACCACACAATTGTGGATTTTATTGGGGGGCCGCTGAGTCTGGGAGCCATTAAAATGTGAGACACCCATGACCATAAGGAGGGACTAGAAGGTGTTTAATTAGATGTAGGAAGAGGAAAGAGGAGCCTAGTGCTCAGAAGAGGAGGGATGTGTTGTTGGGAGTTCTCACAGGCAGATCTGAAGCCCTGGACAGCAGTGAGCGTGGGAGGAGATGAGCCTACAACCCAATAGCATCTACCTTGAGTACCAGCTCAGGAGATGCTCAGCTGGTGTTGGGATGAAGGAAGATGGGAAGGCATCTAGAATAGGATCAGGACGGGGCATGATCAGCTATCTCCAGCTGCCCTCAAAGAGGAGGGCAGGGTCCCATTATAAGCCCACTGCGTTCTTTGGTACCGAGTGATCCCTTCGTGCCCCCCCTCTCTCAGCTCCTACCTGCCTGCACTGGGCCATTTTTCTGTGTCCCTCTGCAGTTGTGAACATCATTCTTTCTGTGAGGCCGCCACTGTGTGGCAAGCAGAGGAATGACAACTAGGGACCATTCCAGCCAGGCATGCCCATCCTTTGACCCATTAGAAGAGCCTTTTTTGCACACCTGCCACGTGCATGTCTCTGGGGTCCTATGAGGGACACGAAGAAATCTGAGGTGTGACACTGAGGTGGCAATGGGGGCCTTGGGGTAAGCACAGTCCAGTTTTCAATTCTGACCTGGAAATGAGCCACTGGAGGTGGGGTTGAGTGGCAGCCCTGCTTGGGACATGAGGGACCTGGCACACTGTAAATGAACCCCATGACGTCCATTGTTGATGCTTCTCATCTTCATCCAAACAGGAAAGGGAAGCAGAGGGGATGGACAGAGGATGGGGACGGAAGTACCAATCAGACTGTCCAGCTGAGGCTCTGTGGGGCCCTGGGCTCTGGCAGAGCCCTGGGGAAGTGGGGATGGGTCAAGGCAGGGAGGGGTCCCCCAGAGACACTGCTTCTTGCTACTGGTGTGTCTCCTGCTCTTGCCGCCGTCCCTTTCGCTGTTAGTCTGAATGTGGTTCCTGCCTGCCCTGTTGTCTCTGTTAATCCTCTTCTGTGCTAGGGGTCAGTCTCTCTCTCCCCGCATCTCTGCTCCCTCCATTGTTTCTTTCCCTCTGTCTCTCCATTCCACCCCTGCCCCTGTCCATCTCTGTGGCTTCTTGACCACTCCCCAACTCCTACAACCCTGTCGCTTGTCCTCTCTGCCTATCTCTGATCCCATTGCCTCCTGTCCCTGTCTCTGCCACCTTCTACCCTCCTCCCTCCTCTCTCTCTCTCTCTCTCTCTCTCTCTCTCTCTCTCTCTGACTGACTGTCTTTCCTTCCCAGCCTGTCCAAAGCTGCTGACCTGGACCATCACTGGGTGGCCAAGGCTTGGCTAAATGACATTGGCCTGTCCCAGTACTCACAGGCCTTCCAGAACCACCTGGTGGATGGACGGATGCTGAACTCCCTGATGAAGCGGGACCTGGAGAAACACCTGAATGTGTCCAAGAAGTTCCACCAAGTCAGCATCTTGCTGGGGATTGAGCTGCTCTACCAAGTGAACTTCAGTAGGGAGGTGAGGGTAGGCAGAGGGTGAAGGGGGGCACTGGGGTGAGGCAGGAACACAGCCCTTCCTTCTCTCTACCTCCACTGTCTGCCCAACCATCCCTCATCCACCCCCTTATCCATCCACCCACCTAGACACCTAGCCATCCACATCATTTGTGCATCTGTTCATCTATCTACCCATCTACCCCATCCATCCACCCACCATCTAACCATCCACATCCAGCCATCCACCCATTCATCCATCCACCTATCTACCCATGTGTCTACCCACCCATCCATCCACCTACTTACCCATCTACCCGTTCATCCACCCATCTAGCCCTGTGTTCAACCATCCCATCTGTCTACCTGCCTATCCATCCATCCATCCATCCACCCACTCATTGTCTAACCATCTACATCCAGCCATCCACCCACCCACCCAGTCATCCACCCACCTACCGATCCATCTGCCCACCCACTGTCTAGCCATCTATACCCAGCCACCCACCCACCCAGTCATCCATCCACCTACTTACCCATCCATCCACTCACCCACCCATCCCTCCATTCAATTATTGCTCCCTCTCTTCTTCTAACAGTTGCTTATTGGCTAGACCTGGGGACCCCTCATTCTCAGAGAACTCACTGCCCATCAGGAAGACCATAGAGGTCAATAGTGGAAGGCCGTCAGGGCTCTACAAAAGCTGTGAGAAGTGTCATGGGGGTCAGGGAGAGTTTCTGGGATAGTGTGGATAAGCAGACTTGCCAAAGTTATCGCAACATCGGCAGCCAGTAATGAGGCCCACAGAGGGTAAGGCCAGACCCCAGGTCTGCAGCAGCAGTAGAACAGAGTCGGTCGGTGGTGGGCTTGGGATGGGGCTACTAACCAGAGGCCTGGCTGTCAGCATAGAGTTTGGGCTCTGCTTTCCTTAATTCTTAGCTCTGCCAAACCAGAGAGCACAGGGCCCCAGGCTCTGTCCCTCAGAGCTCACCCAGGAGACTTCCCCACACATCTTCCTCCCTGAGCAACTGGTCCCTGAGGGATGGGTCCAGATAGTTGGCTTTTCCTAAAACCATGTCAAAACATAAGTATCTCAAGGTCAGGAGAGAGGGAGAAAGGAGAAACTAACCAACTCTCTCTCCCTGTCACCCACTGCATGACTGGACAGAGGGAGGGGATGAGGACCTAGGCCCCGGCCTCTGGAAGTCCCAGTAGGAACTCCAGGTCTAGGAGCCAGTACTCCAGGATGACCTGTGAAAGGGCAGCAAGCTGACCCATCCACAGATCCCCAAGGGTGATGGTTTACACTAGAATGCAGAAATCCCCAGGAGCCTCCCCATCATAGGCAGGATGTCCACAAATATCAACTGGACATCTGCTCTCTGTTGGGTGAGTTGGAGCAGAGATGCCTGGGACCTAGTGGCTATAGAACAGGCAGTGCCATGGATCTCTAGCTCACACACCTGCATCCCTGCACCTGAGGAGACAGGTCTCCTGTTTGTTGTTTTTGTTTGTTTGTTTGTGAGACAGGGTCTCCCTGTAGCCCCCAGCTGGCCTGGAACTTACCCTATATAGACCAGGCTGGCCTTGAACTCACAGATATCTGCCTGCCTCTGCTCCCCAGTGCTAGGACTGAAAAGTCTCCTATTTCTTAGAACACAAATGTCATGGCTCAGGCAGCTATGGGTGGGAGCTCATCACAGAAGTATGCTGGAGTCCCTACCAGTACCATGGACCTTCCCGCCAGCTGTGACCTCTTTGTGCCCTCATCCCCTCAACTAACTCCATGTATTTGTACCCTCCCTTTTCCCAAGGCCCTCCAGGAGCGTCGAGCCCGCTGTGAGACACAGAACACGGACCCTGTGGTCTGGACCAACCAGCGGGTGCTGAAGTGGGTACGCGATATTGACCTTAAGGTGAGAGGTGATGGCAGTAAGGGTACGGGGTGACTCTCCAGCATAGGTTAACCCCATGAAAATGAATAACATCTACCTTCATGTGAAGTAGGGGGCACCATCATCTGTCCTTGCTATCACTGGGATTGGAAGCCCCTCACTGCAGCAGTAAGACCCCTGTAGAGAAACTCTTCTCTGGGGGATGCTGAGCAGGTACATCCTCTCCATAAATATTTCTGGCTCCTGTGGGAGTCAGGGTAGTATCAGTGATGTGAAACCTCTGTGTTCACAGCTCAAAGCATGGGGAATAGGGCCCCCTTTACTCTCAAACCAGCTGGTCTCCAGTGGGTAAACATCTCCCTGCTTGGCTCTGATCACCGAGACCACCCGGTCTCATGCTTCCATCCTCAGGAATACGCAGACAACCTAACGAACAGTGGCGTCCACGGTGCTGTGCTGGTTCTGGAGCCCACGTTCAACGCAGAGGCCATGGCCACAGCCCTGGGCATCCCCAGCGGGAAGCACATCCTCCGGAGACACCTAGCAGAGGAGATGAGCACTGTTTTCCATCCAGCCAAGTGAGTGTGCCAGGCCTGGACCACAGGATACAGGATGCTAGCTGTGGAAGCAGACCCTGCTGCAGCTGCCCTGGCTCTAGCCTTGTGGAGTTCAATTGTCTTTGCATCATACTGGCCAGGAAGCTGAGGCTCTGAGAAGCTGAGCATTTTCACTGAAGGCCAGAGACTAAAAAGAGGCGGGAAAGTGTCAGGTCTTAACACAGCACATGTTAAATTCTTACCGCCCAGGCATTTAGAGCAGGGGAGTGAACAGTTCAGAGTGAGAACGGCTGTGCATGGCTTCACGGAGCAAGGCGGCCATTCTGGAAGGTGTAGCCCTCAGTGATGAAGGTTTAGAGGCAGGATTGGACACATAAACGATGCTTTTGAGCCAGGGACACAAAGTACAGCTACTTACTCCAATGCATAATGCTGCCCCCACATGACTCTGCATGGCTTGGAAGGCAAGATCGCTGAGTGGTGGGGTGGGGGGTCTCCTCATCTGGAGAGTGATTACAGTGAACAGCCTAGATTTGCCCCAGGGGCTGCTCTGAGGAGTCTCACATGGGACTGGATGAGTATTGGCCCAGCAAGTGCTGAGTGCACATTTCATTCTAACAGCATCGGGATTGGAAGCATTACCACCACACAGATGGCAAACTGGTCCTTAGGGTCCACACTGTTGCCCATAGTCACCCAGCCAGTAAGTGGTCACAGTGTGCTGGGTCTTTTGCTATATTAATATGGCAAGCTATATTGATTGCTTTTCACAGGTCGAACCAACCTTCTGGGGGTCAGTTTCACTTGGTCTAGTGCACAATCCTTTTTCTCTGTTGAATTTGCTAGTATGTGGTTGAAAATTTTTACATTTGTATTTATAAGGGATATGATCTATAAATAGAGGTTTTGAGACAGGCATTCCCTGTAACCCCAGCTGGTCTGGAATTGCTATGTAGACCAGGCTGGCCTCACTCTCATAGAGATCTGCCTGCCTCTGCCTCCTGAGTGCTGGGATTAAAGGCGTGTGCCACCACATCCAGTTTTCTTTTTTTTTTTTTTGAAGGTTAGAGTTTATTAAGACATTTTTAAGTATGAAGGTTATTCAAGAGCCAAGCTTCTCACCAAAGAGTCACTTTGTATTAATTTTAGGTTTCATTTGGGAGGGGTGTTATTGTTGTTGATTTGATTTTGACAGTTTCTCATTGTGTAGCCCAGGCTGGGCTCCTGCCTCAGTCTCCGGAGGGCTAGATTTACAGGTGCGTGTACCACCATGCCTGGCCTGTAGTCTTCTGACTTTACGGGGCTTTTGTCTGGTTTTGCCATCAGGGCAATCCTGGCCTGCTAGGGTGAATTGGGAGGTGTTTCCTCCTCCCCTGCTTTCTGGAAGGGTTGATAGATGTCCGTGGTTCTTTAATCATCTGGGCAGCTACCTGTTTCTAGGCTTTTCTTTTGTGGAAGTGTTACAATCATTAAGTTAATCTCTTTACTTGCTGGATTTTCTATTTCTTTTTGAGTAGGTTTCAGTAATTTATATTTTGCTAGGAGTGTGTGCATTTCATCAAATTAGCTAATTTTCTGTCATGCAGTTAACCCGATAGCCATGTTTTACTGGTTGCTCCTGTTTCTGGAGAGTTGTAATCAGTCCCTCTCATTTCTGGGCTATAGTGTAGAACCACTGGATAATTCACTATGTCTTGGTCTGTCCAGCTGAAGGTTTGGCGACATGTGGACAAAGTCCAAATTTGAACCTGAGGCTCTCTGATTCAAGCCTAAGCTGTGAATCCCAAAATGAGAAGGGCTTTCAGGACAGCTGAATGATTCCCTGGGTGATATATAGTCTGTATCATACATCAGGACCCCAGAGGCCCAGGAGAGCACTGTGCACCCTTGCTGAGTCCTGCTTTCCTGGACTGTCCTTCCCCACTGGCCAGTCAAGACCCTAAAAGTTTTCAAAGTGAGATCTGCAGACCCTGCCTCAGGAACAAACCCCTGGACCCTATCTCAAGCAAGACCAGCATCTGCTGGCAGAGCCCAGGGAGCTGCATTTTGAGCATTTTACAGAAATTTGGGAGAGCCTTATTCAGTCAAGAACAAGGCTCCACTTCTCAGAATCACCCCGCTTCCCTGACCACAAGTCTGGAGCTTCATGATTTGTAACAGGTTTAAATACTCAGAGCCCTGGAGGGTTGGCTTGGGCCAAGCACCAGCAAGTCCTGGTGGAACTGCTTAGACCTTGACCCTCATGAGGCAGCAGGTATCCCTGGACCATCTAGGATAGTGGGTGAGCACCAGGGAAAGTTCTGGAGGTGAATGAATAGAGTGGCTTCTTACGGTCTGCTGGGCCAAGGACTCTTCTGGGACTGCATGAAAGTTGTGGGTCTCCTGTGCCTGTGGGATCAGAAGAGGGAGGTGGGCTTGATCCAGGACTTGGAGGCTGACAGGCCAGGGACAGAGAGACAGTGCAGCCCTCAGCCCAAGCCCACCTGCCTACTGTTACCTCTGTGCATAATACTGCTCTTTGCCCCTGTGACCACACATTACTTGTGAGGCAAGGTCCCTGAGTGGGGGTTCAGGCCCTATACACCCTCTGCCCAGACCCTTCCATGAATCTGGGGAACAGACTTTCAGTCAGCTGAGGGAACACAGAACCCTATCGATCTCTAAGGAGTTCAGACACTACCTCTGTGGCTGAGAACCCCTCACCAGGGGAAGCAGTGGTTCCCCACCCCCTATAAGCACGGTGAGAAGGTCAAGATGGTTCTTCTGAGGGTTTGATATTAACAGGGGCAGCTCTGTGGTGTCACATGGGGAAGGCCTCCATCCCCAGCCCTCTTTCCCATCACTGCCTTCAGCCTTCAGAGAGGACAGAAAGCAGGGTGGTGGTGGTGACGCTTTGGGTGAGTCCTCCCAGGGTGCTTCTGATTGGGTGGGAAGATGCTGGCTGGAGAAACATCCCAACCATTGAAATAAGTATCAGGTTCCATGCTGGACAGAATTCCAGGTGGGGAGGGCACAAGAGTGTAATCACAGCAACCCTTCACACTGACGTCAGAACATGTCATCAGCAAGATCCCGTCACAGCTCTGCTGTGTGTCTCCTGCTATATACTCCCTGAGGAGGGGTCATTGATTTGTTTTTAAGTAGTGCTGGAGATGGAACCCAGCAGTGCTGGCAAAGTTCTGCAGAAGACCAGAGGGGGGTTGGGAGATGACTCAGGCAGGAAAGTGCTGGCCTCAAAGGCATGAGAGACCTGAACCATCCCCAGAACCCACATAAAAAAGCTGAGTGTGATGGGACACACTTGTAATTCCTGTGCTGGGGAGACAGGCAGATCCCCGGGGCTCCCTGACCAGTCTGCCTACTTGGCAGGCTCCAGGTCAATCTCAAAAAAAGTGGACATCAGCTGAGGACTGACAGCCATGACCTCCACACACGTACACATATATGTGTATATGCACCCACACACGTGCACATGCACACACACAGAGGAACAGGCACATATGTGCACATGTGTGCACACACATTAACACACACACATGCACGCACACGCACGCACACACACAGATCAGATAGTAAGTAGTTTAGTATTTAGGAGCCGCAGCAGGAAAGCAGCTGTAGATAACAGCCAACAGATGGGCACAGCTGGGTTCCAATAAAACTTTATTTATAACATTAGTCCATTCACTGGGTTTGGCACACAGGCTATACTTTAGCACACCCTGTTCTAAAGGAAATCACTGATGCTTTTTGGAAGGAAGGAAGGCAGATGGGGACACGGATTTCAAATACAGGGTAGGGAATGTTCCTGTTGTGTCTCCGCTCACATTTGATTTGGCTAAAATATTGGGGTTCACCTCACCTTTTCCCTTTCTGGGGAAAGTTCGCAGCATCCTGAGGAGTTAACAGCAAGGCCTTGGAGTGTCACAGGCTGAAGTTTGGATCCTGACTCTGCCGCTGACAGCTTGGGACCTTTCTACCTTCTCATCTGTGAGCAGAGCTTGCTGTCCCTGGTCTTGGGCTACAGCGAGGATTACATTTATAAAGAGCTGAGTTGTTGGCTGGAGAGATGGCTCAGCGGTTAAGAGCACTGGCTGCTCTTGCAGAGGACCTGGGTTCAATTCCCAGTACCCACATCGCAGCTAACAACCATCCATAACTCCAGTTCCAGGGGAATCCAAAGCCCTCTTCTGACCTCTGTGGGCATTGCACAACATGGGTGCACTTACATACATGCAGGCAATACACACATACACATAAAATAAAAATAAATATTTTTTTAAAAAGAGCTGAGTTAGGAGGTACCTAGCAAGTCGCTGCCTTTGGTCACTGTCATCAGTGTGAGGGGGTGAGCACTGCAAGTCTCTGGGCGGCAGAAGATGACGGCCTCTCTTACTAACATCTGGTGAACTGTCCCAGCTCTGCAGGCATCCGGGAGGCTGAACGCTTCGGAACCCCACCCGGCCGGGCCTCCAGTGTCACCAGGGCAGGGAAGGAGGAGAGCGGGGGCTGCAGCAAGTACAGGGCTGGCCGGGTAAGTGTCTGAGGCATGCACACAGCACAGAGGTTCCGCAGGCCTGCTTGAGTCCATGGGTGATGGTGGCGGAGGGCGCTGCAGAGTGCGGCACCCCTCACCCTGGCCTCCTGAAGCAGATGGTCCCTAGATGAGGGGAACTTGCACACAGCTAGAAGTCCCGAGGGCTCCAGGGAACACCAGACTCCCCAGAGAACCCACTGACTTATACTGTGAACTCCACAGCTAGTGCTAAACCTCAGTGGGCTCGATAGACAAAGCATAGACACAGTTGGCACAATGGGTCTCAAATCATCCTCCTCTTCACCCAGTAGGACCCGGGGCCCCAGCTGCAGGCCAGGCACCACCCTGGGCACGGGAGGGGCGTGGCAGGCACAGATTGCCGCCTGCTTCTGAGGATGCTGCATCCTGGATCAGCTTTTCTTGGGTTTTGCTTTTGTTTTGCATGGCCGGGAGTCAAACCCAGGGATTTGCATGTGTTAGGCAAGCACTCTGCCACTGAGGTACAGCCCCAGACCAGTCTTCCTTATTTTTGGCCAGGCACCACCCTGGGCACGGGAGGGGCGTGGCAGGCACAGATTGCCGCCTGCTTCTGAGGATGCTGCATCCTGGATCAGCTTTTCTTGGGTTTTGCTTTTGTTTTGCATGGCCGGGAGTCAAACCCAGGGATTTGCATGTGTTAGGCCAGCGCTCTGCCACTGAGGTACAGCCCCAGACCAGTCTTCCTTATTTTTATGTTTTGTTTTTGAGATGAGGTCTCACAGTGTTGTCCAAGCTGGCCTAGAACTCACCAGTCTCCTGCCTCAGCCTCCTGAGTGCTGGGGGTTAAGGCGTGCTCCCTGCTGAGATTCTAGAGCCTGCTTTCAATTGGGAGCCAAAGGACTGAAAGTTTGTTCTGGGGTGGGGGTATTCAACAAACTCTCACTCTTTTCATGTCCCAACACAGATATGTATGTGTCACATAGACAGACACAGTGTATCCGTGGCCTTAGAATGCCATGTGACAGGTAAAATTAGGAAAACCTGTCTAAACTGTCCTCAGAGGAGAACAATCCTGTTTGTAGAGAGGCACTGTCTAGAAAGACAGTTAAGCACGTAAGTCATTGTGGAGTACTGTTGGGACCGTAGAAACAAAAGTCCACTCAGAACCAGGAGGCCCATGAAGAAGCCACACTGTGGTGATGTGGGGCCCAGGGTTTTTGACTTCTCAGACAGGGGGATCATAGCACCAGTTTCGCAAACCCCAACCCCACCATGAAATGCTAGAATATTCCTTCTGGCTTGGGGGTACAGTCAGACCTCATACCCATGCTTACACACGCTCAGGGCGTTGTCCCATCTACTAGCTCTCAAGAGGTGTGGGCAGGTGGGAGGGAGAAGGCTTTAGGGATCATTAGCCTGCAGTGTTTGTTACCACCCTTGGTAGCTAATTGAATCCCTCCAGCTGGGAATTCAATCCTTGGCTCCTCATGGAAATTCTCCAAATCCCTTCCATCTGCCTGGACTGTGGGGGGGGGGAGTATTACCAATGGAAGAGCCCAGAGATGTTAAGGGAGGGGCTCAAGGTCACACAGCAATTAGATTGGAGATGCCGTCTCCCAGTGCTCCCCTCTTCACATGTCCTGTGGCTTCCTGTCTCTGTAGCTGCCCCTGGGGAAGATAGGAAGAGGCTTTAGCAGCAAAGAACCAGATTTCCACGATGACTATGGCTCTCTTCAGAATGAGGACTGTGGGGACGACGACCCCCAGGGCAGGCCCGAGCAGTGCCGCCTGGAGGGCTACAACAGCTTGGAGGTCACCAATGTGTGAGGCACATGACTGGACGTGAGACCTGGGAGGAAGAACAGCCTGATGCCCTGGTGACATCCGTCCCCACTGTACAGAGACCTGGGGCTAAGGATGGACCTCGGTGTCTGGATGGAGTCCCCATGGATGACTGAAAATTCCAGGCACCAAGGATAGAGACACCTCCCTGCCAGATGTCCCAGGCTGCATGGCTATTCCTGTGCTCCTGGAGACTCAACACCCCCAAGAATACATCACCCAGCCCCATAAGCCAGTAGGTGCAGGTGACCCTTGCACTGCCAATCACAAAGCAAGCCAGGTGCTGCTGAGCTTCCACGGTGGAGAGAGGCCCCCAGCCAGCCTTGGCAGAGCCCTGGGCTCTGAGAACCAGGGGCAAAGCCAGCCAGCAAGGATCAGGTGGTCTTGCCTGCCACCAAGATCTCAGGTAGATGAGATCACCCCTCGGGCTCCTGGGCAAAGAACTTGAACTGACCTGGTCGCTGATTCTAGAGGAGTACAGAGCCGAGGCTGGGTATTCCTTCCACTTCAGAGCTCTGCACCATGGGTGGGTGTGTTACACAGGTGCGTGCCCATCTCCTCCCATGCCCATGGCTGCCCTGAATAGGGACAGGGAAGGAACCCTGCAGGGCAAGAGGGCCTGGCATCAAGCAACTCCAGGGGATGCCCACATCTTGTCACCAGAACGAAAGGTACCATGACCTCGGGAGCAGGAGGGACTGACATCAGTCGGAGACGATTCCAAACGTGGACTTGGGTTCTGGGTCTGGGATGGGGAAACATTTGCCACCATTAACCCAACCTCTGCTGTGATGGTCCTGTTACCTGAGACAGGTGTGCTTATCCATGACCTGACAGGGGTGCAAATTCCACAGAGCAAGGTCAGTAGGTGTCAGAAGAGGGGACCTCCAGCCCTGTTCTCCACCTGCCACTGATTTGCGTGTGACTCCCTCCCCCAGTGGCCTCACCTCTCTGTGCCTCAATGTCTTACAATACTTCCAGTTCCTCCCAGGGATGCCAGGAGGGTTAACACTTGCTAATGTCTATACCAAGTTTTGAATCTCTCCAGAAAAAAACTGGAAGGGATGGTGGGGAGAGAGCAGGCCTAACTTCCCATCCAAGGACACTCGGTGAGTTCTCTCCATTTCAACGGGGGCAATAGGCAGAAGGGAAACAAGGACTTTTTAACCTTGAGGGTTTCCAACACCTCCCAGCAAGGCCTGGGAGAGCCACGAGTGAATGCGGCCTGCAGACTGGGCCGGGGGCAGTGTCCAGGTCCACACTGACTTTGCTGAGTAACACCAGGGAGGGCTTGATGGGCAGATGTGCTCTGCGTGGCTTGGACCCCCCACCCCCCAAATCCCTACTCTCTCTGAGGTCTTTACTCTGGAGTGCATGAAAGGTTCAAATTCCCAAATCTGGCAGCAGGGGGCAGTCTCTGAGCCACCAAAGCCAGTTTTCAGGGGGACAAAGTACTTGTGGGAAAACCACACAGAGCCCCATGATCTTGAGAGTTGCTGGGGCTAAAATCGAAGGCCCGACTTCTCAAAAACCTTTCCATAGGCACAATCATCTTCCGGGTCTGAGTTCAGGCCTCAGGGGTGGGGAGGATCCCTTCTGTCATTGGCCTCTGAAGGACACATGTCTGCTGCTGGGACCTGAAGGGTGATCATCTGGGATGTGATTCATCTTTGCTGAGGTTCCAAACCCCAGGAATATTCAGCCACATCCCTGGGGTCCTGAGGCTACTAAACTCACAGCCCAGTAAGGGGAGGGGCTAGCTGGGAGACCTGGGATGCAGAATCTGCCTATAGGGAGGCAGCAAAGGCAGGTGTCCTGTTGGCTGTGACTCCCAAAGAGGGAACTAGAGGGGCAGAAGGGGCCAGAGTGCAGGGCACAGGATTTGAAACTGATGTTCACCCAAGGTGTCAGAAATGACGCTTATGTTCATCCCAGACTCCATCTTGGGACAAGGTTGTGGTGGGTCACCAGGAAAGATAGTATTGCCAAAAACAAGCCTAGCAGCAGACCAGCAGGGAACCTTGGACAACCTTGATTTTACCTGTGGGTCCTGTGACACTTTCATGACACCCCTGCCATCTGGGGCTCTGGGTCCCAGGTGAGACAGTAAGGCTGGGTTTCCCCATGAGGACAGTGTGAACAATAGGCCACACATCCCACCCAAGGTGAAGTAGGTGAAGTATAGCTCTACTTTCTGATGGGCAGAGGGGTAGGGGTAGAAAGGTACCCTGCTAGCTAGCTGACAGGCTGGTAATGCAGTCATAAAGACAGGGGACCCGCTATGTTGCATCCAAACAACTAAGTTGAAGTCTTGGTCCCCAAAGGGTGACACAGCATCTAGACTTGGGGAGACACAGGCTGCTCTGGAACGATTGAGGTCTGTGCAGCTCCTTGCAAGGAAGGAGGGCAGAAGTGGAGTGAAGAGATGCCCCATTTTCCTCCTAGTGGCTAGGAGTCCACAGCATCGAAAGACTGCTTCCTGATGGACTCTGGGATTCTGCTCCTGACATCTCTTCAAGACTCTATCCTCCCTGTGGTGCCTCTAGCACTCTCTCTGTCAGCGTTACTGTCCTGACTCCACGCTGCAGGAGGCAGGGTCCACCACGTGACAGCCCAGACCAGGTAAAGTAGAAGAAAGGGGCCTCTTCCAAGCCTGGTCAGTATGGGGAGACTTAGAACAGGGACCCCCGAAGTTCAGGGTAAAATAACAGGCTGTGGTCTTGGCAGAATGGAAAATTAGGCAAGATGTGACTTCAGTCTTCACGGCACAGGGACCTTCTCCAGCCCACGGGGATGCTCTAACCTGGAGAGGTCAGCTGTACCTAGCTAGACCATACCGCCTGTTACCAGAAAGTCACGTATTCTGAGGACCATCAAAGACTCCTGCCTGTGTTTCCCTGGGAATCAGAAAAAGGAGCCCCTGGATAGTGGCAACTGTCTAGATCTCACTTTAGGACCCATGGTTTGCTGGTGACAGAGTGAACTGCAAGGCCCCAGCACCTTCCCAGAGAGAATTCTAACAGTATAACAATAAACGCTTGGCCTTGAGATGATGCGTTGTTGCTGTGTTTTCTCACTTAATCTCCCAGAAGCCTCTTGGAGAGGGGAGACTAGGAACCCCTGAAACAGATGAGGAAACTGAGGTTAGAAAGGCTGAGGGACCCACCAGCCTCACAAAAGTAAGAAGCCATAGGGCTGGGACTTGAGCCCCATCATCTGCCTCCAGATCCCAAACTGGTCACCCCCACAATGCATTCTACACGCACACACCCTCTTTTCCATCACAGGACTCATCTGACCAGGTGACATCATTCAAAGAGGAATCCGGGCACACTCAGATGTGCTGGTAAGTCTCTCTTGGGTACTCCCTCCTGAGAGGACTCTGACAACCACATCCCTTAATGTTGTTTGCTTCACCCTGACACCCCTGTGCTATTTTAATCTTCAAGTGCTGCTGTAGATCTTCAGGGTAACCTTCAGTCCCAGATGACCTTGCACAGGCTTTTCCGTTTATTGTGCATTCCAGTGACCTGGGCAAGGTCTTTTGGAGTGTAGATGCTCCCTGGTCAGGGGCCATGGCGGGGGAGTGTCTGGATTGGTCTGAGAGTCAGCACACTCTCCCAAAGGATGCTGCAGGTCCAGGGACTACACGCAGGTGCTAAGGTCATGGCAGATACATGGACCTTCCCAGTATCTGTGAATTGCAAGCCCTGGTCACCACAGGTAGGGCTGGTTTGTGGGCTCTACCCAGGCCCCTAATAGCCCTGTCAAAAGCTATGAACCCAGCCCAGCCTAGCCTGTCTTCATCTCCCAGGCAGGAAGACATATGTCTTCTAGATTCATGGCTAAGGTCAGGTGGGGTATGCCCTCTGAAGTAAATGATTAGGGGGCAGAAGATGAAGAGCTCAGAAACCTTGGGAGGCAGTCAGGTCACGAGGTCTACCTGGTACTCCCAGGCTCTGCCCCTGAAAAGTTGGTGGCCCTGGAAAAGAGCCCCAAACATCCTCTTTGTCCCTGCTATTTATTGTTGATTGAGGTAGGGTCTTACTCTAGCCCAGGCCAGACTCAAAACCATAGCAAGTCTCCTATCCTGGGTGCCCAAGTGCTGAGATTGCTTTCTGTTTTAAGACAAACTGTGTCCTCTGGAGGTGTGTGTTAGTGCTTGTGAGTTCTTGCTGAACCAGACCTTTTAGGTCCCTGAATGATAAGCCTTTTCTGTCAGGAGGTCAGGGGCTGACAAGCTGTCTTTGCCCTCTAAGTCTGTCATCCAGAGAGCAATTTTCTTCTAGATGGGGGAGGATGGACAGCTTCCCACATGCACTCTGGGGAATTAAACTGTAAACAGCTGTATGACCAGGAAAGGAGCCTGCTCTGAGGTCCTGGCTCCTTTTGTTAGGGAAGGACCCAAGGAAATGTAGATAAGTCACCTGTGCCTCTATTTCTCCAGCTATCCGTTGAAAGGAACAGTCCCTATCAGAGAGGGCTGCTGTAGGGAAATGTTTGGCAGACCCACATTCAGCTAGAACTCCATTAATATTGACTTCCCTGCCCCAAAGGCATCTGGCCAGCTCTGGAGAAATTTGGGGTTATTAGGACTGTGTGGAGGGAAGCTAGGGAGTCAAGCAAGGGTAGGATGCTATGTCCCAGGACATCAGGACAGCACAACCATCCAAGTGATATTAAATTTGTCCCAAGTCTACAGGTTAGATGTCCCCCACATTCTTAATCCTTCCTGCCACCTCTGTGAACTTTTGGGACTGGACTCCCACTTCTCCTCTCTGAATTCCAGAGGGCTCCTCTCTCCTAGGGCCTCACTTCCTGACCCAACCTGGAGGGAAGGGGAACTTCAGTCAGGAAACCCCACAGGTCACATCAAAGGCTCCTGTGCTTTCATGGTCAGTCTCCATGCCTTCAGGTCACCACTGGAGGATTCAACCTACCTCGCCAGAAATAATAGGTTGCCAGCAAATGGCTATTTGTATAAGGCACTCAAGTGTCCTTGGATCTGAGTGTCACAGAGGGTCCTGGACTCCCTGTGAATTCTGAGGGGGAAATCTTACCCTATCCTCATGCCCCTCAAGAGCTTCAAAATCAGCACTGGCTAAACAGGACCCTGGTGAGCTGGAAGCCCTAATGGACCTAAGCCAGAGAAACCCTCCCTCCCTGAGCCTCCATAGAACTGTCAGGCAACAAGTTGTATTCTTAGCCCAGGTTGGCTCCATCCCCCTGGCCACCTCTTCTCCGTGTCCCTCATGGATGTTCCTCCCTCATGCCCCTCAAGAGCTTCAAAATCAGCACTGGCTAAACAGGACCCTGGTGAGCTGGAAGCCCTAATGGACCTAAGCCAGAGAAACCCTCCCTCCCTGAGCCTCCATAGAACTGTCAGGCAACAAGTTGTATTCTTAGCCCAGGTTGGCTCCATCCCCCTGGCCACCTCTTCTCCGTGTCCCTCATGGATGTTCCTCTGTATTCCCATATAACCTAATGTCATCTTTTTATAAGCACACAGCCCCCCCCAAATGATCTCATTTTAACTTAATCTTCAAATCCTGTCACATTCTTAAGTCAACACCTGAATTTTGAGAGAATATGGTCCAACCCATAAGAGTCCCCCACACACTGCCCAGCCACTGCTGAAGTCTCCTCAGGTTGGATCTCAGTCCCAATTCAGTCATGCATCATCTTCTGGGCTTGACCCCAAGAAAGTGCATGCACCCATGCATACACACAGCATACATATGCACACACATGTGCACACATGCACATATGTGTGCAGCCGCAACCTCCCCCTACCAAGGACTTCATCTGCAAGTGACGTGGGAAGGCGAGACAGCTCTGAATTCTCTTTTGTAAAAAGTGGACCAGTGAGTCAGTGAGATGGCTCAGTGGGTAACACTCTTACTGCCGAAGCTGACAACCTGTGTTAGGTCTCCAAGACCCACATGGTGGAAGGAGAGAACTGCAAGTTGTCCCCTCTGACCTCCGCTGACGTGTCATATCACTTACACAGAAGTGTGTGCACACACACACATACACACAAATAAATAATGAATGTAAAATTACTTTAAAAATTAAAAATTGACTGAAGCTTGCGACTCCGAATGCCCCTCCCTCTTAGCCTGTGACTCTAAAGGCATCTCCTCACTGCCCCTCCAGGAGTGC